ATGCAGGACTTCTTTTTAAGCATATTAGAAGGCTGTGAGCTTTTCATCCAGACATAAACAGACTAAAATACTTCTGAAGTTGGGGTGGCTAAATAAAAAGCATAAAAAGCAACTTTGCTCAGATTGTTGCATCTGTTTAACTTTTAAAAAAATACACAAATGGCATTACTGAAAACCCAAAAATTATACAAAAATACAAAAAATTTGTTCAATTTCTGTCAAAATATCACCCTGAAAATGGTGTACTACTTTATATAATTTATATGCGTATAGGCTACTTTATCAAGGAGGTTACCAGAAGGAAACTGGGTTTTTCTGGTTTATTGGGAATATTTTACTGCGTTTTCTTTGAAATGAGAGGTGGGACGTCTTTCAAGACACCAGAACAAGAAGTCCAGTTCTACTAAACCCTTACACTTGTCACATGACTCAGAAACTCCTCGGCCATAACACCACTTATTTATTTTCAACTGTCTGGGTCAGCAGATGTCTCTATTCTGGCAAATACAAGCAAACACCACATTCTACATTTGAATCAACATCAAATGTTCCACTTCAAACTGGCAAAGGTATAGAAAAAGAACCTTAACTGTCAGCTGGGACCATCTGGAGGCACTGGATGATGGAAGCTGGAGGCCCGAAAGGCTTTGAGGGGAAGCTGAAGGGAAGGCAGACTGAGAACAGAGACGCAGCAGAGCAGCTGCACTTACCAAACTGTTGTGAGTCCCTATCTGCAGGCAGGATGGTAATTACAGGGCACAGACAGAGAACAGGACACAGATACTCAAACTGCTGGGTAGCCGCCCTTGGGCCTTCACCATAGCACTGCGGACCACCTAATCCTACATTATGGGCTATGAGAGAAAGGTTCCAGATCATTGACTCATACTGCCAGAGAAGAGACGGTAGAGACAGGCCCAAATTAGGCCCAAGACGCAAAAATAGTCCGTTCTTCATCTGAGACCGACTACAGGCTGCCTTCAACAACACGGCTAATAAAACTAGAGCTGTGCAAGCAAGAAGCCTTTTGACTCTATGTATCACAACTTTTCTAATAGATGTTAGAGAACCTGCATCCTTCATTTAGACCTGCAACCTTCTCACATTCTCACACAATAAACCCGACCACACTGCACCATTACAGAAAAAATAACCGAAGCAAAGTTTACTCAACCCATCAGACTCCCAGCCAGGGGCAGCAATCCTTACAAGGAGGGTGTGGTTGGAGGTGACATGTAATTTTAAAATAGTTCAGAGAGTCCAGGCATTAAAGGGAGAAAGAGACTAGAAGCTATTTCCTATCTAATGTGTAGCTCAACGGTATTTTCATTAAAAAAAAAGAAAGAGGTAGCCAAAACCAATCAACAGTCGTATCTGTTCTGCAAATTTCAGCTTGCTGGCTTATTGCACTGCAGAAAGATTCTGACACGTTCTCCTCGGTGTTGCCCTATTCCTCCCCAGCAGCAGAGATAGGAACCACATGACAAATTTGTTCCATTTTCCAGTGTAGGTGTCAGAGCTGTGTATGTTCTAATGATGAGTGCTTCCAAGAGAGGAACAGGAAGAACGTCCCTGGGGCGATTTGGCACCGCGGAGCAGAGAGGCGGCGACTGACTGCAGGGTCACCAAAGCATCTATCATTCAGATAAATATGCAGAAACAATTCCTAAATGTTTTGATACCAGACGTGCCCTCATCCTGGTTACTATTCATGTAAAGCATAACGTTAGATGGAACTCGTTTGTAAACACGACATTAACAACTTAAAGGGCATCCTAAGGCGTTCCAAATCATACAATCCTTCTAGAAAGGAGAGTGTCCTCCCAGTAGAATGCACCCAAAAGATCCCTCCTAAGGAAGGTACCTGAAACACCTCAGCTGATTCCTTCTGATGTGGCGGAGCACTCCGACCACTCTCTGGATGACTGAGTTCTTCGGTTATGCCTAATCCAGAGGAAGCTCATTTCAGCTTCCTGTAACCAAGGTGATCAGGGCATACATGGACCGGTAGTCCAAGAGCTTTGCCTTTTAGCCGAGCTCCTTCTAACCCACTTTGGACCGGAGCATCCTCATTATTGCAGACAAAGCCCAGATTGATCAGCACAACTCTAACCTACTATACCTCACAAACAAGATCCCAGGACACTTTAACTCCTGTGCTCGAGTCAGACTTGCCTTCAACCTAAAAGGAGAATTCCAGTTCCACCCTGTTCCAGTCAAGACTTGGAGGAGCTAACGCTCATCCCAGCCGCTTCATTTGGCTCCAAAACACCTGAGCACAAAGCTGATGGATTCTAACCCAAAACTGGGAATGAGCTTGAATTGGTGTCGAGGCTGCAGCTCCTGTTTGGTAGATTTTATACATTTCAGCTTGATTTTTTTTCTTCTGCAAAATTATTGAATCTCAGTTGAAGGCAATTTTCTAAAAAATGTCGTAAATGCACAAAAGATTCGATGTCAGCGTCCGAACCTAATTTCTTCTGTATAAACCATAACATGA